GCTCGCATACCACCTTCGCACTTCTACTCGAAAGTTTATTTTTTATTTCTTTCATCATTCTGTTATTTCAGTTATGCGATGGGGTATGCGAATTACCGCATATTGCTCGCATACCCCCTTCGTGCTTCTACTCGAAAGTTTATTTTAGAAACCGCTGGCAGTTGGAACGTTACGACCGATTTTGAGGCGTCTTATCCGCTTTTCGAAACGCTTGGGCAGTAAAAGCGTGCATGTGAATCGTTTCATCCATCTATATAAAGCGTGTAATCTTCGATCCATATCATGCCACTTCTCTTACTACCCATCCGTCCCCCAGAACTCTTTGTTAATGGCCCTCCGTTTTTCCCTTTTCTTGTATATGAGAAGCAGTTCGCCGGAGATAAACTAGAGTTACAAAAATTCTTTCTTTCGACCCGTGAGTCAATTCTTTAAGATTAATGTGTCTGAATTGAGAACTCCTAACCTTCCGAATTTGTCGGAGGAAAAAATTCAACGAGCGGAAATTCCGCTATCCAACTTTATTAATGTGGCCCCGGCAAGAAACATATATGTCGAGACAGCGACGATGAAGATCAAACCTCCGGGCCCGGGTATTGCCGGCGACCGGGGCATAACGGCCCGATCCTCTGTCAGAGGCAATGCTGGCCTCAACCTCTCTAAGTTGTGGTCGGCCAGGTTTTCCTGACAGAGAAAGGTGGTTGGTATCGAAGGAGTTTTTCCTTGAAACCGTCAGAGCCCATTGGTTGAGAGCGTGGTGGTCGTGGTCGATCTCACGCTGGAGTTCTACATGGAACTACACAAACAAGCTCCACCTACAGCTCCTCTTTCTCGAGTCTGAGTGTTGTGGTAGCTCGTCGACTCCCTTGTCCTAGCTTTTTTTTAGGCTTGGCTGGTCCTTCGATTTTTTTTTACTTTGTAATCGGCTGGGGTTGAAGTGACTGTAAAAGTAGTAGTGTAGGGATTTCTGTTCGATCTTTTATTCTGCGAAATATTATTCGCCTAGTTGGTGCATAATAAGAAAAAAAAATATTTTTGGAAATTTTCTATTTTGCGACACACATTGTGAAACACTCGTGTAGTATAAATGAAGAATAATTTATTTTTTTTTAATTTATTTTGGAAATTTTCTATTCTGCGAAATACAAACGTCACGTATTATTCGCATAGTTGTTGCATAATATTTTTTTTTTAGAATTTAATTTTTTGAAAATTCTTGTTTAGGCGAAATGAACCTGAAAAATATTACTCACAACAAACGCATAACACGTAGTTTAGGCTAATGAACCTGCGACAATTAGTCGAAATACAAACGTCGCATATTTAAGTTTATTTTTTTGTAGAATTTACTTTTTGGAAAATTCAACAGTTTAGGCTAATGAACCTGCGACAATTAGTCGAAACAATTTCGCATACAAACCGCACAACATTCGTAGTATAATCGAAGAATTTATTTAAACAAAAATTATTTTTGGAAATTTTCTATTCTGCGACACACATAATTGCGACAAATAAACATAATTCATTCGCAGGTCAACCGGAGGATATTCACATACCCACTTTTTGTGTAAAACAATTATTAAACAATTATTTTGGTCTGATATATGCGATTATTTATGCGACCGTCTCACGACGGATATGCGTTTATTCGCAGGGTGCGCTTTCTACGCGAACATTACTCGACAACTGTTATTTCGAACATTTTGTCGTATAGTTTATTATTTAAAACATAAAGAAAAAAAATAAAGCAAAACGTCGCATATACGCTACAGTTGCACCTCTCAGGAGAAGAAAACAAAAAAGAAAGAGGGGCAAAAAATTTGAAATTCCATCTTCCATCTTGTGACATTAATTCGCATAGTTAGAAGCAAAATAACTGTTAGAAATTTAAAAGAAAAAAAGAACCAAAAATGATGAACGAGAACGACCTCATGGCCTTCTTAAGAGATTCTGAAGATTTCACGAATCAAGCTTTTCTCAAGGCGGCCGGCCAAGCGGGTGCCCTAACAGAAGCCGACGACTCAACGACTGCCGTAACGGGTATGGCAGGCCGCGACTCAGCGACTGAAGGCACGGGTCCAGAGGCCATCTCTTTTGGAGAGGTAACTTCTATTTGTTGCAATTATATTTAAGTTATTTAATTTCATTTGCTTTATTAGTTGAGAAATAGTTGTTTTTATTTGATAATGTATAAGTAATTTGATTTGAATAATTAACAACAACAACAACAATGTGATTGTTTAGGATTTGTGGTCGTACAAGAGACATGGCCTGATCGATAAATATGAAGGGCTGAAGATCAATGTTTACAACCGGCAGTATATATGTTCTGATATCAAGAACGAGTTGGGCCTCGTTGGAGGGGCCTTGACTGCTTTCCAGGGCTCGGTCTTTGGTCCGTTCCTCTAGTTTGATGATAAGGCTAATGTCTCTGCAAATGCAATGCATTGGGTTCTTTCACGCGAGGTGACTCGTGTCGGTCAGAACCCGAACGAGATGTGGTTCCGTATTGGTAACCATTTAACCCGATTCTCCGCCCATGAGTATGTTGTGGTGACCGGGCTTGTTTTTGGATCGTCTGCGTTTGACCCGAATCAGCGCCTCCTCCTCCTCCATCGTCTATTTTCTATGAGAAATATAAAGGCAAGCGGGTCACTATGCAGCAGTTGCGTGATGACTTCAAGGCGGGGCAGTTCTGCCACTCTCGGGATGTGATAGTGAGAGTGGTGAAGATGCTAATGCTCATGTACTTTATAATTCCTCATGACGACAAGAAGGCTCGGTATATTGATACCTGCTGGTGGGCTTTGCTCGAGGACGACCAGATGTGGGAGAAATTCCCATGGGGGAGTTACTCGTTTCAGTACCTGCTCGACTATTTGAAGACGGCCCAGTACAGTAAAATGAAATATCATATCTACGAATTTCACTGGGTGTTTCTAGTATGGTGCTACGAGGCAATCCCTGCATTAGGTCGTACATGTGGAGTATGTACCTCGGTGAGACGTCCACCACGGCTGGTTCACTGGGAACTGAGGAAGGTCACACTTCCAAATATATTTTTTGACCAACAGGTATTATTTGATCCTAAACATTTTTTGTTATTATTGGAATCCTTATCAAGTGATATTCGAAATTATTTTTTAGGTCTTAACGATTTTTGATGATTTCTTTAATTTTATGTTCTATTTTTTAAATTTAGTTGGAGGTGCATGAGAGGCTGGAGCCGTATGAAGAGGAGAGTGCCGTGTTGGACCTCTCAAATTTGGATGTTGTTTAGGGGCCTAGATTTTTGCGACGGCTTAACCCGGCCAGTCACCGTATACAAGACTCGGCACCGGTGTCCACGTTGGCTCTGCACCCGAGGAAGCGGGCCCGGA